CCCCGCCCCAGGCTCTCTCTGTTCTGGGTTGTGTAGACCTAAATTAGTGGTTCCTAATTGGGGTAATTTTGTTTCTCAGGGGTCTTTTGGCAGCACATGAAGACATTTTTCATTGTCACAACTGGGAAAGGTGCTTCTGGCATCTAGTGGGTAGAGGCCCTGGACGCGGCCAAACTTCCTACATAGGACAGTCCCCACAGCAAAGAATTACCCAGCCCCAAACGGCGGTTGTGCCAAGGTTGAAAAACGATAGCCTAGAGACATATCCTTGTCCTCGAATTCCACAAAAACCTGCCCACATGAAGTCCCTGTGAGTGTAGAAGACATCACTAGAGATTTAGGGGTACAGGATGTGGGAGGAGGGGTTTTTATTGCTGTGATGCAAATGATTTCAATGTGAATATTAGACCTTCCTCTGCCTCAATGCCCTTTTGCCACCCAGTCATCAGAGAGTACCCTCTGACCCTTCACCTAGTGTGGTCCCCAGCCTTACACCTTCTCACTGGCACTGGTCCCCTTTATCTTATCTGGAGCAAAGTTTTAAAAAATATTTTTTTTTCCATTGCCATGTGAAAAGACAGTATATCTATATGTTTAGTTGTTTAGGTTACACCCACACACAGAGAAACAAGTTACTTTTCCAAACAACGACAGTTCTCTCCCTAAGAGGAATTCTAGTGCCAGCTATTAAGATAATAACATTTTTACCTCATTTATGTAAGTGTAATACTTAACCAATTTTTAATCACTTTAAATATAGGAAAAATAAGTTAAGTTTCAAGTTTTACCGTCATCTGAGAATCTTAACATACTGACATAACTACCGCAGATCTAATTTTTTCACATTATAAACCATTACACCCTACAGAAACCCTATAATTTCTGCTACATTTATTCATATTTATTTCCCCTATGTTTCCAAGTTCATTGCTTGCTTTTCCGGTTTGTCAGTGCTGCATTATAGGTTAGGTGATTATCACAGATGGCTTTTCTGGTTTGGAGTCTTTGAGTTCCACTGTTTAATTTTACTATTCAGCTTTTCGTAGAAGAGAGGACAGATGTGGGCTCAGGGACAGAGTGGTTTTAGCATCCAGAGAGCAAGCTTTCCTGAAGGCTGATGGCTTTGATAAAATCGTTTATGAATTACTTAAATTCTCATCTAGGGTCTTCTTCTCACATTGTGGACATTCTAATACTCGTTTGTTATAGAGAAGTAAAAATTTTTATTCACCTAATAGGAGCTTTACTAAAAAGTAACCAGTGGCACATATTTATACTTAGTTGAACCAGTAGTATGAATTAGAATTAAGGTACTCATAATCCAGCATGAAAGTATGCCGGGGTACTTAGCTACAGAAAATATCTGTTAACTGCATTGTAATAAACCTCCTTAAAATCACAGCCCCTTTAAAATAGATTTCCTTTCTGATAACTTTTTTGTGAGCTTCTTCATCTATCATTTTTTTCCTTCTTTCCTTCCTTCCTTCCTCCCTCCCTTCCTTCCTTCCTTCCTTCCTTCCTTCCTTCCTTCCTTCCTGGTATTTTTATGAAAGTTTGATATATGTATATAAGATGCACAAATCTTAAATGTTACAGAAGGATGATTTTAATATATAGTATATACCTGTGTGACTACTGACTCAAGACACAAACATTACTATGATCCTAGAAACTTTCCTTTCCAGTTCTGGAACTTCATTCAATCAGTATGATCTCTTTTTTGTCTGTTCTCAACATAATATGTGTTTTTTGAGAGTTATCCATGTTGTTCTGTGCATCAGTTTTATCCTTTTTACTAAGTAATATTCTGTTGTCTGAATATCCCACAGTTTATCCACTCTGCTGGTGGACATCGGATTTTTCAGCTTGGGGCTATCATGAATGCAGCTGCTACGAACATTTCTTATATAACATGCTTTGTGGACACGAGCACTCATTTCTCTTGGATAACTATCTAGGAGTAGCTTTACTGGGTCATAGGAAAGGCATGTGGTTAATTTTACTAGAAACTCTAAACAGGTTTCCAAAGTGATTCTACTTATTTTACACTCCCACGCGCAGTGTACGAGAGCTCTCATTGCTCCACACCCTCACCGGCAGTTGGTGTTGCACATTCTGGTGGATGTTATGGTCCATATATTTTATTTAATTTACTAGAGGCCCGATGCATGAATTTGTGCACAGGAAGGGTCCAGTTGGCCAGCCCCTATTGGGGCAAATCGGACGGGGGCCGGTCAGGGGAGGGGCCAGTCAGGGGGAGGGGCTGTGGGCAGTTGGCTGGCCCCGTCCCCTGGTCAAACTCCTGGTCGAACTTCTGGTTGAGGGGACAATTTGCATATTAGCCTCTTATTATATAGGATTATTATTATTATCATTATTTTTAATCCTCACCCAATGGTATTTTCCATTACTTTTAGATAGAGAGAAACATCGATGTGAGATGTTGTGCAATTATTCTGCAATAAAAATATATTCATGAGTTGTTTTTGTAATTAAAAATAAAATGCATGGCCCTGGCTGGTGTTTCTCAGTGGTTAGAGCATCAGCCCACGTACTAAAGGGTCTTGGGTTTGATTTCTGGTTCAGGGCACGTACCTGGGTTGCAGGTTTGTCTCCTGCCCTGGTGGGAGTGCATAAAGGAGGCAACCAATCTATGTGATGTTTAATTTAATGTTCAGAATACTCAGATATCTAGAATAGAATGTGGTTTCTATTAGTATTACCATAGTGGAGATTATTGTGGTTTAGCAAGCGTGGTTTACTGGGCATGTCATGGTGGGTAGGCACAGTCTCTTACTAGAAAGGATGCCTTACTGTTAGCAGTTCACTCATGAGAGTCTTCAGGATTATGCCAACAGATCTTTACTACCTGCCTACCATCATCAATCCAAACAGAAGGCCCCTGGGAGTCCCTCCTCTCTTTCATCTCCCTCTCTTCTTCTCCATAATCCCAACAAACCTTTTCTAACCCCCCTCCCGACGGAGGCCCATCTCCAA